AGCCACAGCACCCAAAATTTTCCATGTACTTTTTTGCAGGAATATTAAAGTATTTGTTTAAAGTATTTTATGCCATCCCAGATTCTGCTATGGGCATTGCAAAATATGTGGTGTGGCACTGTGTTGCTTTTCTAAAATCCAAAAGACTTGTATTACAAAACACATCTGACCCAAAGACATCAGATAAGGGATTTTAACTAGCATTATCTCATCTTTAGACCACTCTCTCCACTCCCAGTCCCCCTCTTACTCTAACTGTTCAAATGGCCATTGGACATCTAGAATCAACCCTTCTCTGCAAAAGGAATACACACACACCCACATACCCTTTGGGTCTCCCCACACAATTGTCTCCCTCATCCAAGCTCCTTTGCTCCCACTATTTCTTCAGTCCTGATTTTTGCCAACCTCATTGAATTTAAATTCCCCCCATACCCCTCTACCCCCATGCCCTGGTCAAGAAAACAGATTTTAGACATGGCACCTTCTCTGAATTACTCTGGTAGTATAGGCCCAGCCAGTTGTTACCTGCCTGTGGGCTGCAGAATTCTTCCAAGAAACTCTATGTCTATTTGAATGCCAAATACTATCTGCCAACTGTGTAAGTAATGTCTGGTGCCTAACTGTGCTACTCCTTTTCAGCTGTGCTGAAGGCCTGATTGTTTTTTGTCACAATGAATTTTCCCCGTTGACCAAAGCCCAAAATAACAGCTTCTCTCGTTTGCAAGGGTTCGGTCACTTCCAAAGGGAACAAGGGGTCTTTAGGCTGGGGCAGGTTGCAAACCACTGAGCTGGGCTGTCTTGGCAGTGTGCCATACCTCCTTGGTGGGGGGGAATCATGAGACCTGAGGTCAAGTTCCAGCTCTTCCCTGGCTGGGTAGATGATCTTGGAGGCAGACCCTCGTGACTTGGAAGGCTTTGGTTTCCTCATTCTGGAGTAGAGATCATGAAAATTATTTGGCAGGATTGTGAAGAAGATTAAATGAGATAATGAAAGGACTTTGAAAACTGTGAAGTGTTGCACAAATGGAAAGCTTGTTGTTGTCTTACACATATTGTCAACTTTTTTTTTTTTTCTTCTGGATGGAGTCTCGCTCTGTTACCCAGGCTGGACTGCAGTGGCGCGATCTCGGCTCACTGCAACCTCTGCCTCCCAGGTTCAAATGATTCTCCTGCTTCAGCCTTCCAAGTAGCTGGGATTACAGGCACCACCATGCCCGGCTAATTCTTGGATTTTTAGTAGAGATGGGGTTTCACCATGTTGGCCAGGCTTGTCTTGAACTCCTGATCTCAGGTGATCAGCCCGCCTCGGTCTCCCAAAGTGCTGGGATTAGAGGCGTGAGCCACCGCATTTGGCCACATATTGTCAGCTTCTTAAAGGTGGGAATGGTGTCTTCTGTTTTCTTCAGTTTCCTCAGTGGCACTCCCCACCCCCATTCTGCAATCAACACGGGACTGGCTATAGAGATGGCCTTGTATAAAACACTGCAAAGTAACTTGCACAGTGGCTTAGCAAATAAGAGGTATTTAATAAATGGTAGTTAATATGCATGTCTGTGCCATCCACTCTGCAGAGAAGCAGTGTAGTGCAGAGGTTTAGAGCACGGGCCCTGGTATTAATCCACTCTCTGCCACTTGCTGGGTTAGCACATGTGACCTTGGGCAAGGTTAGCACTAATAGGCCCTAATATTCTCATCTATCACACATGGCTGATGATAATAGTAGTTAATTCATGACGCTGTGAAAACTGAAAGGGTTTAGTCTATGTAACAGAGCCGGGCACGAATCGAGCACTCTGTAGGCATCAGTTGTTTTTGTCTTTTTTTGCAACAAGATCTCAATCTGTCGCCTAGGGTAAGTGCAGTGGCGCAATCATGGCTCACTGCAGCCTCGACCTCCTGGGCTCAAGTGATCCTCTCACCTCAGCTTCCTGAATAGCTGGGACTACAGGTGCATGCCACCATGCCCAGCTAAGTTTAAAATTTTTTTTTGTAGAGACGGGGTCTTGCTATGTTGCCGAGGCTGGTCTGGAACTCCTGGCCTCAAGCAATCCTCCCATCTCAGTCTCCCAAAGTGCTGGGATTACAGGGGAGCCACACACAGTTGTTATTTAGCTATTATATGCCAAACGATTCTTCAAAAGGTGGTCAGTGGCTGGGCGTGGTGGCTCAGGCCTGTAATCCCAGCACTTTGAAAGGCCGAGGTGGGCGGATCACCTGAGGTCAGGAGTTCAAGACAAGCCTGGCCAACATGGCAAAACCCTGTTTATACTAAAAACATAAAAATTAGTTGGGTGTGGTGGCACGTGCCTGTAGTCCCACCTACTCGGGAGGCTGAGGCACGAGAATTGCTTGAACCTTGGAGGCGGAGGTTGCAGTGAGCCAAAATTGTGCCACTGTACTCCAGCCTGGGAGACAGAGCAAGATTCTGTCTCAAAAAAAAAAAAAAAAAAAAAAAAAAGAGGTGGTCGGAGAAAATCGCCAGACAGGAAGTCTAGCTTCTGGTCTTTGTTCAGCGTCAGTAAGGTCTTCAAAGAGGGTTAGATGCTCAGGCAGCCTCTCAGGATCAGCACAAATCATGCAGCGGTGAAATTCAGGCTTGGGTGTCATTTCCCCCAGCTGTGGGCGAAGATCCTAGACCAGACCAGATATCATTGGGTAAAAGGTGTGCCTGTTTAATATTTGGATAAATATCACTATTGTCCGACATACAGAAGTTTCTGTCTGCACCACCTCCTGTCAGAACAAGAATGCCTATTTTCCCATGCCCTAACCAACTCATATTTTTAAGTATTTTATTAATTTTTTGACTAGGTAACGTTTGCAGGTGGCAGAAAATTTAAAAAGATAGGGAAGGGCATGCAGTGAGAGGTCTCTACGTTCCCGTCGCAGCCATCCCAGTCCCGGCCCCAGAACCACAAACTTTGATCTCAGCCTTTCTGGTAAATGGAAAGTGGTATCTCACTCAATCAATCTCACAATCACGTTGATGTGAAAACAAATTACTATATATTAGGGAGTAGAATGTTGCATGTGAATGAACTTTAAGATAAAACAGGAGACTTCAAAGGCATTTTATGCTCAAGGGTGGGGCAGGGCGTGGAGTGGCCCTTCTCTTGGGGGATACCTTGGTACGGCTGTGTGTTAGTCTGTGGAATGAATGCTGGATGGTGCCCCCACTCGTCTCGATCACATTGAGGTTTCCCTCATCCCCCAGTTACCTGTTTACCATACATCCCTCTGGGCTCTTCCTGCCCTTGGCCTGGTCACCACCTTGCTGCCTTACCTTAAGTCAGTCACCTCCCACTCTGGGCTTCCTGACTTGTAAAAAGGGGGCTGGACTAGGCCTCATTCCAGGTGTAGCATTCCAAGACTGATCAACTAATTCACATTAAGGTGTAGATGACTGATAACAGCTTAATGTATTACCTCTCCTGTGGGTGGAAACATTTTAAGAGATGCAATTTCTCATCCTCCAAGAATGAGTGTGCGTGGTGCAATTTCAGGTATGGTCACAGGTGTGTGGGGACGATGTAGGGGGAGGGGTCCCTTTCCTGGCACCCCTTCAGCGGTCACTGTAGGCCCCCACCTGCTCCAGCCAGGGGTGGTGGCAGCCCTGAGGGGAGCAAACCTGCTGGCTTCTCTCACACCACACTCTGCATTCATTTCTCTCTGGCAGTGGCCAAGAGCAGAGTTTTGTCATACAGAAAAATGCCTCATCAGAGAAACCCACGTGTGTGGCCTGGAAAACTACCTTGTCCCCTGGGGCGAGGGGTGCGGTGGAGGTGTTAGCAACCTGATTTCCAGGTTCTCAGATCAGTTCTCGTCCTGGGTGGGTGAGGAGATCCCCACTGGAGGGCCACTGGCCTTCCGCCAGAGCAGGTGGTCCTGCCATACCTGGATCCAAGACGTCTGCTTTTTACGGAGAGAAAGAGGCTGTGTCAGACGCTGTCTGGTTTTGTTGGCTGAAGGAGGTTTGGTTTGGCTTCTGAATTTTCAGGGAGGGCTGATGGCCCGCAGCCACAAGCCACCGTTAGCCTGTGAGAAAGAGGAAAGGCGTTTCTTTAGCTGTGAAGTCTAGGCCGGCTGCTCTTGTGCAGTGCAGGCCACCGCATCCCAGCCCGCATCCCCCACTAACCCACTGGGCCCTCATGGGGCGCCGTTTTGTCCCACTACTGTCTGGGCCTTTCTTCAGCGGAGGCGGCTGGGGAAGCCAGTCTGTGCTGCCCCCAGGACAGTGGTGGGTGGGGATGGACACCCGGGGCTGAGGGGCCCAGGTCAGATCAGGGAGAGACGTGCTTCGCTTTCTGGCAGAACCTCCACTGTTGCAACTCCTCCTCCTTCCTGGACCAGGGCAGCTTCTCCAGACCTGATGATGCTTAACCCATGAGCCTCATTACAGAGCATTCACAGCTCTAGACCATCCCTATGCAAAGGGTGGTCCATGACCAGCCTCATCTGCCTCACCTGGGAACCGGTTATGCTGCAGGCCTTAGGGAGGTGGGAATGCCATAGAAGCTCTCTGGGGAGGCCCCTCTGAGGTGGAGACTCATCACAGGCCTGATTCAATGGAGAGAGATGGGCACTGGGAAAGGAATGCACGACGGGGCCACGTGCTGAACTAGGGAGGTGCCTTTTCTTTTCTTTTCTTTTCTTTTCCTTTCTTTGTTTTCTTTCTTTCTTTTTTTTTTTTTTTTTTTTGAGATGGAGTTCCCCTCTTGTTGCCCAGACTGAAGTGCAATGACGTGATCTCAGCTCATTGCAACCTCCGCCTCCTGGGTTCAAGCAATTCTCCTGCCTCAGCCTCCCAACTACCTGGGATTACAGGCGCCCGCCACCACGCCCGGCTACTTTTGTATTTTTAGTAGAAACGGGGTTTCACCATGTTGCCCAGGCTGGTCTCAAACTCCTGACCGTAGGTGATCCACCCATCTCAACCTCCCAAAGTGCTGGGATTACAGGCGTGAGCTACCACCCCCAGCCTTAATTTCTTTCAAAACGGTTTCTTTTAGTTTTATTTTCATTGTATTTTAAATAGGCAATCCACTCACATAGTTAAAATTCTAAGGGCACAGGAGGGTATGTAAGATACAATTTCTTTTGCAGACTTGTTTCCTAGCTGCTTCCCCTCTCAAAGGCAACCCATGTGGCCCAGGGACATTAGATTATGCCAGTAAAAACATGTGTGTGTGTGTGTGTGTATGTGTGTGTGTGTGTGTGTATTCATACTCACTAGACCTCTTTTTTTTTGTTTGTCAAATGATCCTTTATTGAAATATTTTCCTTTGTGCTTCTTAACTAACTGGGCATTCCACAGCACCACTGTTGATGTCATCTATGATGTCATGAGGGTGGCAGCCATCAACATTACAGCCCACAGACTGGGCAGTCCCCAGGATTTCTTTAATGGTTCCAGTGAGTTCTCTGGCTAAAGGTCGGTGCCGCATCTGTCGAGGAATGTTGATGATCTCATCAAAAGTGACATTCCCACTATGTTGAATGTTTTCCTGTTTCTTTCTGTCTCTTGGTGGTTCCTTGAGGGCTTTGATGATCAGGGTGGAGGCAGAAGGCACCACCTCAATCTGGGCCTGTCTGTTCTGAATGGTCAGTTTCACCGTAATCCTCAGGCCATTCCAGTCACCCATTGCCTTGGCAATGTCATCACCAGCCTTTTTTGGAGACAGGCCCAGGGGGCCGATCTTCGGGGCCAGTGCAGACGTGGCACCGACTTCACCCACAGTGCACCTCAGGTATACGACTTTGATCTCATTGGGGTCACACTTCGGCCGCATGGTGGAGGCGGCTGTTGTCGGATGAACCCAGATTCTGGACGGCCAAAGAAAGTTGCACCTTGGCCTCCTCTGAGCTGAGAGCCGAAAAGCCCACTAGACCCCTCTTAAAAAATTCAAAGGTTGGCTGGGTGGGGTGGCTCATGCCTGTTATCCCAGCACTTTGGGAGGCAGAGGCAGGCAGATCACAAGGTCCGGAGTTCGAGACTAGCCTGGCCAATATGGTGAAACGCTGTGTCTACTAAATATACAAAAAAAATTAGCAGAGCGTGGTGGCACATGCCTGTATCCAGCTACTCAAGAGACTGAGGCAGGAGAATTGCTTGAACCCGGGACGCAGAGGTTGCAGTGAGCCAAGATCATGCCACTGCACTCTAGCCTGGGCGACAGAGTGAGACTCTGTCTCAAAAAAAAAAAAAAAAAATTCAAAGGTTGGCCCATGGCACAGAGTGTATGAACCTTACTTTTCTCACCTAGTATGTCTTGTAGATCATTCTATATCAGTATGTAAAGAACATCCTAGATACATATTTCAGATGAATATTATTCTACTCTAAAAATAGACCTCAATTTATATAGCCAGGACCCTACTGATGGACTTTTAGGTTGTCTAATAAATGTAGCCGAATTTTAGAATCTTAGAAAGTGGAAGGTCATTTAACCCCAACTCCTACCACCCTGCCTAGGTTTGTTTGTTTGCTTGGTTTTTTTTGGTAGAAATGAGGTCTTGCTTTGTTGCCCAGGCTGATCTTGAACTCCTGGCTTCAAGCTATCCCCCCGCCTCAGCCTCCTTCCCAAAGTGCTGGGACGCGCCCAGCCCTGCCAAGGAATTCTTTCATGGTATCTGACTGCATGCCTGAGACCCAGCTGCAATGTCACCTCTTCTGGGAAGCTCCACCTTCCTTTCCCTCTCATCGCCTTTGCACATACCTTAGCCAGAGCCCTAATCACATGATATGATTTAGGCAAAAGCGTGATAACTTTGCTTTTGTATCTTCTCAGCTCTGACCCTATTGCAGAGCACAGTAGGTACAGAACCAATGTGAATTGACAGTCCTTGAGAGGGTACGCCTCCAAATTCTGCTGCCTGGACACTTCTAGTAACAGGGATCTCACTTCCTGAAAAGCTCATTCTGCCTGTGAAAGGCGGTATCAGACAGTCCTTTGATGGAGCAAAGTCGGTTTCCCATTGGCTTTTCCCTCTGGGTTCTAGTGCATCTTCTAAACACAAATGTAATCCCTCTTCCAGATATTTAAGATAACCTCATTTCTCTAAGCCAGATACCCATCCCCCTAACCTCCCCTCCCCCATTTCCTTTGGGCTCTGGTTGCAGATCCTAGGCCTTCTAGCATTTTCCTGCAGACACTTTTTGATTTGTAATATGATTCATTTAAAAGTGATTTCTGTCCGGGCATGGTGGCTCATGCGTGTAATCCCAGCACTTTGGGAAGCTGAGGTGGGCAGATCACTTGATTTTTGTAAAAATACAAAAATTAGCCAGATGTGGTGGTACATGCCGTCATTTCAGCTACTTGGGAGGCTGAGGCATGAGAATCACTTTAACCCAAGAGACGGAGGTTGCACTGAGTGGCGATCATTCCACTGCACTCCAGCCTGGGTGATGGAGTAAGACTCTGTCTCAAAAAAAAAAAATAGCTGAAATTAAAAAAAAAACTGACCATACCAAGTGTTCACCAAGATGTGGAGCATTAAAACTCTCCAGCACTGCTGGTGGGAGTATGAAATGGAACAGGCACTTTGGAAAACCGTTGGCAGTTTCCTAAAAAGTAGTTAAAGATACAGCTTTCATGTGACCTAGCCATTCCACTCCAAAATGTTTACTCAAGATAAATGAAAGCATATGTCCATTCTAAGGCATATGCTCCTAGCAGCTTTATTTGAAATAGCCAATGTCCATCGGCAGTGAATGTATCCATGCCACACAATTTGACTGAGCAAAACAAAACCTGCTTGAACAGGTATTGATACAATGATAGTGAACAACATTGATGAATCTCAAAATAATTATGCTGAGTAAAGAAGGCAGATGAAAATTAACGAGTCCATACTCTATGATTTCATTTATATGAAATGATAAAAAATGTAAACTAGGCCTCATGTCTGTAATCCCAGCACCTTGGGAGGTCGATGTGGGAGGACTGCTTGAGCCCAGGAGTTCAACACCAGCAGCCTGGGCAACATTGTGAGACCTTGTCTCTCTCTCTCGCTCTTGTTTTTTTTTTTTTTTTTTTTTTGAGACAGAGTCTCACTCTGTGTTGCCCAGGCTGGAGTGCAGTGGTGTGACCTTGGCTCACTGCAACTCCACCTCCCAGGTTTAAGTGGTTTTCGTGCTTCAGCCTGCTGAGTAGCTGGGATTACAGGCATGCACCACCACGCCCAGCTACTTTTTGTATTTTTTTTTTTTTTTTTGAGACGGAGTCTCACTCTGTCGCCCAGGCTGAAGTGCAGTGGCTGGATCTCAGCTCACTGCAAGCTCCGCCTCCCAGTTTCACGCCATTCTCCTGCCTCAGCCTCCCGAGTAGCTGGGACTACAGGTGCCCGCCACCTTGTCCAGCTAGTTTTTTGTATCTTTTAGTAGAGACGGGGTTTCACCGTGTTCACCAGGATGGTCTCGATCTCCTGACCTCGTGATCCACCCATCTTGGCCTCCCAAAGTGCTGGGATTACAGGCTTGAGCCACCGCGCCCGGCCTACTTTTTGTATTTTTACTAGAGATGGGGTTTTGCCATGTTGGCCAGGCTGGTCTCAAACTTCTGACCTCAGGTGATCTACCCGCCTTGGCCTCCCGGTGTGCTGGGATTTCAGGTATGAGCCACCATGCCCAACCAAGACCTTGTCGTTAAAAAAAAAAAAAGAAGAAAAAAATTAGCCGGGCGTCATGGTGTGCACCTGTAGTCCCAGCTACTCAGGAGGCTGAAGTGGGAGGATCACTGGAGCCCATGAATTGCAGCTGCAGTGAGCTGTGATTACACCACTGTATTCCAGCCTGGACAGCAGAATGAGTCCCTGTCAAAAAAAAAAAAAAAAAAAAAAAAAATTTGATCTTACAGAGTTATGACCTTTCAATGAATGGTATATAAAGGAAATAAACTTCACATTGCAATTGGTCCATCATGACACTCAATGAAAAAAAGCTACTTTTATAGCTTCGTCACTCTGGCCTGTCATAGTATTTTAAAATCTTCATTCTGCATATGGCAGACCTCTCATCTTGTAACATATTTATATTTGATGAGCAGACCTACATGCTTTTATTAGAATTTCTAGCACAAATGCTGAAATGGACCAGGTCAAAACCTGCCCCATGGCATGTCACCATTGAGTCTCCTCCAGATCCTTGGGTTAGGAGAAATGAGTTCAGTGTCACATTTTAAAGTGTGACAGCTAATATGCCAGCTAATGTAGAAGATGTCAGAGGAGTGTAGTGTGGGATGAGCTTGAAAGGGGAGCAGCAGCTGTAGTAAACAGCATGGTGGTTCCTCAAAAAATTAAACAGAGTCACCATATGATCCAACAATTCAGTTTCTGGTTATATACCTCAAAGAATTGAAAGCAGGGACACAAACAGATATTCGTATGCTCATGTTAATAGCAGCATCATTCACAATAATCAAACGGTAGAAGTAATTCAAGTGTCCATCAACAGATGAATGGATCAACAAAATATGGCATATACACATAACGGAATATTATTTAGCTTAAAGCAGGAATTTGCATAATGGAATATTATTCAGCTTAAAATAGAAACTTGATATGTTTTTTGTTTGTTTCTTTTGAGATGGAGTCTTGCTCTGTTACCCAGGCTGGAGTGCAGTGGCGTGATGTTGGTTCACTGCAGCTTCCACCTCCTGGGTTCAAGCGATTCTCATACCTCAGCCTCCCAAGTAGCTGGGACTACAGGCACCCACCACCACGCCCAGCTAATTTTTGTATTTTTAGTGAAGACAGGATTTCACCATGTTGGCCAGGCTGGTCTCGAACTCCTGACCTCAAGTGATCTGCCTGTGTTGGCCTCCCAAAGTACTAGGATTACAGGCGTGAGCCACCACATCCAGCAAAACAGAAACAGAACATTTGAGCTTTGAAGACATTACGTTAAGTGAAATAAGTCAGACAAAAAAGGACAAAAACATACTGTATGATTCCACTTATATGAGGTGCCTACCCATAGAAGCAGAAAGTAGAATGGTGGTTGCCAGGGGCTAGGCCGGAGGAAACGGGGAATAGGGAGTTATAGTTTAATGAATGTAGAATTTTCAGTTTGGGAAGCTTAAATGTTCTGGAGATGAATGGTGGCACTGGTTGCATAACAATGTAGATGCTGCTGAACTGTACACCAAAAAGTGATATCAACAGTATATTTTATATTATGTATATTTATCACGATTTTTTCTTTCTTTTTTTTTTTTTTTTTTTTTTTTTTTTTTTTTGAGATGCAGTTTTGCTCTTGTTGCCCAGGCTGGAGTGCAGTGGCGTGATCCCAGCTCACTGCAACCTCTGCCTCTGGAGTTCAAGTGATTCTTCTGCCTCAGCCTCCTGAGTAGCTGGGATTACAGGCACCCACCACCACATCCAGCTAATTTTTTTTGTATTTTTACTAGAGATGGAGTTTCACTACGTTGACTAGGCTGGTCTTGAACTCCTGACCTCAGGTGATCCACCCCTCCTCGATCTCCCAAAGTGCTAGGATTACAGGAGTGAGCCACCACACCTGGTTTATCATGATTTTAAAAGGGGGAGGGGAGCAGCAGCCTGCTTAGCAGTAGGGAGGACCTGGCTATGGGCTGGGTGGACAGCTGAGTTGGGATGAGTTGGAAAACAGGCTCACCTTGTCAGAACTGGGAGGTGACAGGAGAGGAGGCTGAGCATGCTCTGCTGAGCCTTGAAGTCCAGACTGAGAAATTAGGGTTTGAGATCTGAGTCACTTCTTGGGTCAAGTCTTTGTCTCCTGGTTAAAAAACAATTTCCTTGGGGTGGAGTAATCCAGGAGCTCTAA